GAGAACCGCCCGGAGCCGCTCCCCGAGCTGCCGGCAGCGGCCCCGGCTGGCACCGCTGTCCGTCTGTCTGTCCCGGGTGTCCGTCTGTCTGTCTGTCCCGGGTGTCCGTCTGTCTGTCCTGGGTGTCCGTCTGTCCTGGGTGTCCGTCTGTCTGTCCCGGGTGTCCGTCTGTCTGTCCTGGGTGTGTGTCCGTCTGTCCTGGGTGTCCGTCTGTCCTGGGTGTGTGTGTGTGTCCTGGGTGTGCGTCTGTCTGTCCTGTGCTGTCCGTCCCGAGCTGTCTGTCTGTCTGTCCCGGGCTGTCTGTCTGTCTGTCCGTCTGTCGGCAGCCCCGCTGTCCCCCCGCGCTGGGATCCGGGCAGATCTCCGGCTCCGGGAGGATTTTTCCCCCGTGTTTGATCCCAGCCGGATCCGCCGGGAGCGGCCCCAGCCGGGGACCCTGCGCTCACAGGGGGCCACAAAGGGCAGAGGGATTTTTCCAGAACAATCCTACATTTTTTGGGTGGCCTCTGGAGCCCCACCCCGTGCTCAGCCTTGGGAGAAGGGTGACCCCGCTCTGAGGAAAATGATTTAAAATGCCTTCAGATGCCTTTTCACTTCTTTTTATTTAATTCCATAAATATTTTCATAAGGCTCAGTGTCTTTACAACACTTTTTTAAACACTTTTTTTTGTTTGTTTGTTTTATACACACAACTTTGACACTTGTTTGACAGGGTCAAACAGTCCAATATAAACAAAATAATAAAACTGGCAAGTGCGGATCAGCTGGGTTACCAAAATCCTTTTTTTCTTTTTTTTTTTTCTTTTTTTTTTTTTTTTGCTCTTACTGTTAAAACCCCAAAAGCACTAAAATATCAGTATTTGGCTTCAAACTAGAATTTTAAAAACCTTTTTTTTTTTTTCTTTTTTTTTTTTTTCTTTTTTTTTTTAAATTCTCTGCTACAAGTCCCTGTCGTCATAGTGCCTTTAAGCTCCTACAGACTCTTCTTTTCTTCTTAAGGAAAAATAAGCTTGGTGATGCCATGCAGAACTTACAATAGCTACTAAATATACATGTTCCCTGAAATGTAGCTGCAATGAAAAGATGACAGAGCATAAAGAGAACAAAACCAGAAACCCAAAGCACCACAGTGTACTATCAATAACATTGCAATGGACAGCTGGTGCCCATCCAGAAACTGAAACAAATTTCAAATATATTTCTCTATGTAGTATTTTCTATTTACAACTGTTAGATGCACCTAGGTTGGCTCTTGTTTGACTTTTTGGAGAGGGTGGGGAGGCGAAAGTCTTGAATTTAGATCCTCTGTTCTAGTGTCTAGGTTAAGGGTAATGCATGTCATTTACCTAGGGAAGAGGGTTTCTTTTTATTTGTTTGTTTTTTTATATATATATATATATATATATAGATTCAGCCAGAGAAATACCGTAAACATGTAAGTTTGTTACAACTCTCTTGTTTCTGCATATGGAATGGGAAGTGGGTTCCTCCTGTCTGGCATTGGAATGAAAAGTCTGTACCAGATGCTCAGTCAAGTCACCCCCATCTGCACGGGCGCTGCTCCCAGGCGCGCTCCAGCCCCGCTCCCTGCTGGGACAGCCACAGCAGTGGGACAACACTGGCACCCCAGTGCTGCTTCTTCTTTGTGCCAATGCTCCATCTCCCGCAGCACCTCGGCAATTTATGGAGGGCAAGAGCTTTCTTGAAGGCCCGAGAGCCAAGCCCCTCGTCCCTGCGGCCGCTGTGCCAGCGCCAGCACCAGCGGCGCTGCCCCGGGCGGGCTTCCCACTTAACAAAGAAGCTGCGAGTCCAACAAGTGGCCTTGTCAGATCTTGATTTATGATGCAAATAATGGTGTGGCGGTGGTGTTTCTTTTTTCCTAGTGCTGAATATTTAGGAAGCATCTTCTCATAAAAATTATGGATGTCTCATTCTCACTCTCTGAGGCACAAAACAGTAAATGAACAGGCTTAACTAATGTGCTCGTTACTTGGTTTGTCTTTTTTTTTTTTTTTAATCCTTAAGCAATTAAAAAGGCAAAAGGAATAAGTGAAATTTTCATCATGTTGACAACATTTTGGAATCTCTCTCTCTTTCTTTCTCTCTCTCTCTCTCTCTGCCTCTCTCCAGCCATTCAGAAAGAGTAAAACATTTCAGTTAACTGACGAGAACCCATCTCATGCACTGCTTTAAACACCCATTCTGTTAAAGAAACAAAACAATATTTGCTACGTATCCCGTATTAAAATCTAGCCATAAAAATGCAAAGATACAAAAGAGCATAAAAATAATTTCTGATATAAAATTGGGTTGCTTCCTGTTTGGGATTCCTGGTGTTTGCCTGCTGCCTGTCACAGAGGGACCACTCCTCCTCTCCAAAACACAAATCTGGCTTTGCTGGTTATTGATAGTTTCTAGATTATTCAAAAGTATAAGTGAGCTTATTTTTGGATTTAAATAAAAATAATTCCGCCTTTGTGATATGCCCTGAAATAAAACAGGCTCCATGGAAACAATGAAATCACACTCTCTACTCTTCCCATTCATTTGGAATTCTTAGGGGCAAAAAAAAAAAATAAAAAAAATGTATCTGCACACTCTTTGTCCTGGGGTGCTTATGTGGTGGATCAGATTCCAAAGAAAATGGCAAATACCGTGATCAATCACTTCATCCCCCATTTTCAAAGGAGCTTGCAGAATAGCTCTGCAAAGATTTCAAGTTCATCTTCTAAATCTGGTTAAACAGCCTCATTTGCCCTAGGAAAAAAAAAAATCCTTCTCCTGACAATGGTCTGTTTTACAAGCTTAACCATAAGCTCCTGCACTTGCAAACAAATGTACTTAAGGCTGAAATTGTAGGAAAGGTCTTTAAAAATAGAGCTGTGAATCTCCAGAGGGAGAAAAAGAGAGAGAAAGAGACCGGGAGGGTTGGGCTGATCCATCACCCCAGCCCCACCGTGCCTGGACCATGGCATAGAACCACGGGAACACCACAGCTCCTCAAGGAGGGCTCTGCAACTCGGCTTTAACCTCAGCTGGGCACTGCCAGGGCTGGGGCCAGGATCCTTCCGCTACCGGGGCAGAGCTGGGGGGACCCGGCCTGGGGTGGGCCCTCGTTCTTGGGGTCCCTGCCCCTGCAAATGGCAATCAGGGCTTCGTTAGGGTGCTGCTGTGCGGGCTGAGGGGGGCCAAAGGATGGGACCTTAGTTCCTGAAGACGGAAAACTGGTGGAGCCTCCGAGCCAATTTTCCTCTCTGCAACGGAGGCGTGAAGCCATCGGTTTTTCAGCTTTTATCTTTGCATGGAAAACAAAGATAGGAGTGGGCTTTTCAAGTGTCTCAGCTTGAAAAGAAAATAAATCAAAGATAAGCCCACAGAAACAAAGCAAAAAGAAGAAAAGCCCCCGATTCTCTTTTCTCAGTCTTACTCTGAGCGTGAACAAATCACACCGAATTGAGAAAAAGACAAGTGCTTAAAAAAAATGCAAAAAAAAAAAAAAACCACCAACTGAGGAAAACCCATCTCTCACTTCCTAAACAGCTGCTGGCCCTTCTGCTGGGTTTCACCTGCCCACGAGAGAACAGCTAAAGCCAGAGAAATACTGCGCAGCACAGCGGGAGCACAGGGAGCACATCCAGACAGGCACGAGTCGGAGCAGGGGATGCAGCACGGGGACAGCCCCGGGCTGGGGGACAGCCAGGGGAGGGACAGAGAGGGAGGGAGAGGGAGCAGAGACCTCCCAGCACTCCAAAAAAACAAACAACACCCCCCCCCATAAATAAAATCAAAGGAAATATACACCAATGTAGTCCATGAGGAAGTTCCATGACGGAGTCACACAAGCGAGAAAGCATTCTGGGATGCCAATGACGACTCGGATGGGAATGAAGGAAAACAGGAAACAAAAAAAAAAAAATAACAACAAAAAGAGATGTCCAACCAATGGAGTAAAATAAAATAAAACAGGTCACATGGTTAGAAATCATTGGTGCTTCCTAGTATCTAGTAGCAGATTACTTCCCAAAAACAACAAAAAAAAAGTTTTTGGTCCTTCTATATATATACATATATGTATATATATTATTATTTTTAAAATGTGTGTATACATATATATATGTATATATATTTAGTTGCAACAGTGCTTCTCCGAAAAAAGGTCCATCTATAAATATAATTTTATTTATTTTTATTTTTTAAATTTTAGTTCTTTTAAGTTAAAATTCTCCATCTCTCTAGGTATTATTTTTTGAATGGTGTTAACCTGCTGAAGTTTTGCCAGAATGGTGCCTGGCTGCGTCTGGGTTCGGTGAACTCGAAGACCTGGGACTGGGATATGCCATCTGTCACCATGTATTGTCCCTGATTTAATGGATCCTGGGGTGGTGGGTAGGCTGGAGGAACCGACTTGGAGTAGCTCACACCTGCATCGATGATTGGGGGGAAAAAGAAACAGATCAGTCAAAGAGCAATCGGGTCAATAGTCGTTCTTCGTCATGCTACTGCTCCTTATCGCTCCTTATCGCTCCGTAACCGGGTCCCACGCGCCAGCACGTGCCAGGGCTGGCCAATCTCCAGAACCTGCCTGACCTCTGGGCTCCGAGGCTGCCTCCCTACGCCAAAGCTCCACGGCTGGGACAGGATCCATTACTTTTGTTGGGCAGAGTTCTGCCCGCCCTCATGGAAAAGTCCTGTGTGAGCGAGGAGAGCCGCGACAGGCCCTGCCCCGCCGAGGCCAACTCATCCCGCTCGGATCGAACGGCTCCTGCTCGAGCTCCTGCTCTCCCTCCCAGCTCCCAGCTCTCCCTGGAGAACAGCCTTGCCCCGACATGCCCCGCTGACCGGCCCCGAGCACGACCCTGAGTGCCACCCCGCTCCGCTTCCCGCACGGAACGGAGCAGGGCTGCCGTGGGAGAAGCCCTGCCCTGCAGGGATGCGCCTACACAGAGGGCAACTCGTTCTTTTGGGACATTTAGGACTTTTCCATAGGGTTTGTTCTCAATTCACCAGTCTGGTCTCAGCCCAAAAACGGCTGCACACAAGGCAGAAAAGGCTGACTCTGCTCAATCCAAACTGGCAGCAATGGATGGCGAGGCTACGCTTTTAGGGCTGAGATGTTCCATTCCCACACAGCACTGGGGAGAGGGGATGCTGCCCTTGCAGCTTCCCCACGAACGAGGGGCCTTCAGCGTCCTGCTGTGAAGGATGGCGTGTAAAGGGTGGCTCTGGGTGGCTGAAGTGGAACAGAAAGGATGTGTGTCACCACCAGAGCGCAGCCTACAGGGCACAGTGACACAGTCTGGATGTCCTTCCCCACAAGGACAACCCCTCCTTCAGCCTCGGGGCAGCGGGGCCGGCTGGAAACCGTGACTGCAGGAAGGAGAGAGGAGCAGGGCTGTGGAGCAGCTTGCTGTAAGCTCTGGCCATCTCTGGATCATGCAGAACTGCTCTTCCTTCTGCGGGAGGGGGCCGTCGCCTCCCCGGGCTTTAACCACAGCAGCGAGGCCACTGTCCCCGAGCAGCTCAGTGTCCTCATCTGGACAGCGGGACGGCATCCCCCACCTACCTCACAGGAGGGTTGTGAAGCTAAATTAATTAATGTTTGTAAAACACTTTGAGATCCTCGGCTGGGAAGGTGCTGGAGAAGGCAAAATACGGTGATTAGCACCCAGGTACCAGAGCAAGGTGTGCACAGCAATGCGGCTCCTACCACACACAGACACACCAGCGCTGGCCGGGCACGGACGGCGGCACACGACGGGCACTGACACACAGGGAAAGCCTCACGAGGGCACCCACAGAGCTCACCACACAGCTTGGCCAGGTGCTGCTCGGGCAGGCTGGACCTCTTTGGGGTAGGAGCTAAGGCGTGTCTGGAGGGAAGAGGATTGATTCGCTTCGCCTTGCTACGGAATTTAGCGATCGAGGGTGAAAATCCTCAAAAGGTTCAGACCAAATGGAGATGTCTTGAGTACGTCTAACTGATTTCTCCTTCTTTACTGTATTTTGTGCAGCTCTCTGTCCACTGTAGAGAATAACCAAGATCATTCCTCACAGTGGGCAAAAACCGCTCTGCGAATCACACTCGTTAACCTTTAACGAATTCATCACAATCAGTATTTCAAACTTACTTGGAAAGATCGACCTGGAGATGTTCTGCATCTGTACCTGCATGCTGGAATAGTTCCTCATCAATGACTTCTCTGCTCTGCCTTCCCAAGCTCCTGTCTCCCAGCTGCAGAGCCGAGGGCAGCCCCAGAGCTGTGCTGGGGTCACACCTGGGCAGCTGCAGGAAACCTGACACAACTTCTGCACCACCCTCACTGCTACAGAACTCCAAGGAACAGTTTGAATTCCAACCACTGGGTGACTGAAACCCACCAGGGCAGGGCACTGCTCTCTGCCCACCTCTCCCATCCCTTCTCCTGGCACTGTCCTGCTCTGAGCTGCCCATCTCCAGGCTGGCCAATGTGTGGCAAACTGCAGAGGACAAACTCCAGCCCTGAGCCCATCCAGGAGTGTCAACCTTCTCCTGGAGACCACCAGCCCTTGGCCAATTTTCTCAGCAGAGACTGGTGAGGGATTTTAGGATCTGTTACAGGTCCCTTACATGGCTAGAGCTGGGAAATAAATCTGCTTTGACTCTCAGACTGACCAGGAAATTACCTCAAAGGCGAACAGTCCTTGTTCCACTAAAATTGCTCATGTTCTACAGCAGAAGAGCTGTGAATCTAAAGCTGCTACTGGCAGGGGGGGACACAGAAATTGTTTTTAGCTTTGGAAGTCCTTAAAGCCACCTTGCTTTAGTGACATGGCCCCATGGCTTTGGCATCCTGCAGCTGGGCTCTTTACTGCCTCTAAACCAGTCTGAGGAGAGTGAACTAATGTATTTTTTAATGATGATACAAAATGCTAGGAAATCTCCTGGATCAGCAAAACGCTGTGCACTTGGGAAGCTGAAGAAGTAGAGAAAGGACAGTCTGGCTGATGTCCACTGACAGTGATGGAGTTACTGCAAGGAATGGAATCCACAGCCTGTCTTCTCCAAAAGGGAAAAGGGCAGACTCACCTGGCCAGATCACTACCAAACCCCGTTCAGTTCTATCCCAAAACTCCTGAAAAATGCCTGTCCTTGCTTGGAACACACCCACACACAGCCTGCCCTTCCCTCAGTAAAGCAGCTCTTCCCACAGCTCTATGTGTGGCCCTGTGGAGCTGGGCTACTGAAACCAACATCTGGGCTACTGGCATCAACATCTGGGCTACTGGCACCAACATCTGGGCTACTGGCACCAACATGTGGGCTGGATGAATGCCAAAAGCTCCTGGCTGCTCCTATTTGCATAAGCAAAGGTTTCACATTTCTCTGGTTTATCCAATGGCCTGAAGGATCAAAGCTGTGGATCTCAAGGACGTGCACCATGGCTGTGTGTGTGGGACATGCAAATAAAAACCTTTGTGCTCTGGTAATTCCAGAACTCATTGTTTCCTTGTGGAACTGTGAGACAGCACTTTGCCATAGCTTGAGGTGCCCCAAGAATGACTTCTCCATTTCTTTTTTTTCCTTTTGGATATACCCATGTTCTGGAAAGCAGAAACTGGGAGGGGAAGATTCACCTAATCTGCACATCTTCAAATCCTAAGGAAGAGCAATTTGGGGAGAAGCCTGGCAGGCAGGTATTTTTCTGTTCTGCTCTGAAGTGGTTTGTTCCCTCATCAGAACTCAGGGCCATCGTGCAAAATTGTCTCTTGAGGGATATTTTTTTAATATGCATAGCCAGAACTCCGCTGCAATTCACCAGAAAGAAACGAGCAAAGCTCTTTTCCAAGGCAATTTTGGGCAGCGTGGCGAGCGGAATTCAAAGCACAAAGGGAAGAATCGATGGATAAGGAACCATCTCCAGGCACAGCAGCCAACTCCACCCCACGGGCAGAGCTGGAGCTCCTTCTGCTGGTTCGTGCCTCATTCTGCAGCGAGGCTGCAGCTGCAAGCAGGGATGGCTCACAGGGAGGGGCTGGGGAGAGCTGCTCACGAGGAGAACAAGAAAATTCCCAGATTCATAATTTGGCTAGACAAAACTGGTGAGAGATGCTGCGCTGTCACTTGAAATCATGTCTTTTTATAGCACCAGGCAACGTCACTCGGAGCCTTTCGGATTTCTCAGCTCAGAAGGAAACAATTAAAAAAGACTTAAAACTGTCTCGTTTTTCCCTTCTAGGTTGGGGTGGGTTTTTTTGTGTTTTATTTTTTTTTTGGGTGTTTTTTTTTCTCTTTGAGGTTACAACACGATTTCAGCAGCACGTGAAGCATGCTGGCAGCATGCTGGTCACCCACAGGCAATCCACAGGGACTCGTGCAGACGGATCATCCAGCAGGACACGGCCCCTGCCCGGGCTCACACGACACAGACACGGAGAACACGCACATCTCCTCCACATAACCATGGAAACTTGCCTTACAAGCTGTTTACTCCATCCTCCACCTAGGAGATTTCAGTTTATCCTTTGATCAGCAGCTGTTTCCCAGGCTTTGCCCCCACCCCGCTGTCCGGGTCTCACGCTGCTCATTTAGCCAGAGCTGGGGAGGGGACAGTGACATCGCCACCCCTGCTGGCACTTCTGCCATGAGGAACCTTCCAGCTCCTCAGAGCTCAGCAGCAGCTCAGCCAAATTGCATCTTTCAGGAAATGCCCAGAAAGCCACAAATTCAGTGTCCTGAATACAGTAACCCCCACACGAGGGGAAGCCAGGGATGCGCCCCCAGAGTGCTAATTATCATGTGGTTAATTACTCCTGTCACAGCAATGAGTTTAGGTTAAAGAAACGAGCAGAACTGGCTGGGTGGGTCCAGCCCTTTGCCCTCCTCAGCACATTTCAACAGAGGATCTCAAAGCACTGCCCCACCACTGCCTGGGCCACGCAGGGCTGGCAAAGGATGATGTGCCTGGAGCTGGCTGTCCCCGAGGTGAGGATGGAGCTGTGAACAGGAACCCTCTGCCTGCCCAGGCAGTCCTGCATCTCCTCCCTCTACACCTCCCTGCTGAATCACCAACTCTCACTTTGCTGCTTTTGCCCAGCTCCAGAGGAATTCCAGTGGTGCCTCAGCCAGGACTCTGACACAGCCAGGCCTTCACTCCAGGCCCTGGGGTTTCCAGGGATGGTTCTGCTGAGGAGAACATGCCTTAACTCCTTTTTCTAACCACCAACCTCCCTTCTCTGTTTAGGAGGGAGAGGGCTGGCTGCAGCTTGAGAAATGCAGGAGGAAACAGTCATTTTGATGTTCCCCAGACAACCACAACATCTACCTACACACACTGAGCTAACCCGACCCTCTGGAGGCCATTTATCAAGTCTGCTGCTGCAGCCTGATGTCATTAGAGCAGGCATTAAGATAATGATTCCTCGTGTGATAAGAAAAGCTAATCGAGGCAAGATGGAATAAATGATACTGGGGTTTTATCCATCAGAGCTGGGGGAAAACTAATTTCTGCCATCCTGTGTTTGTACAGCCTCCCTCTCCTGCAGCGCCCTGCAGGCTGATCACACAAACTCTGTGGGTTTCATTGATAGGAAAGGATCAGTTCAGCTTCTGGGGAGCAATTCCTTCCTCAAACCCCTCACCAAACTCAAGGTGCAGGAGTATCTGGGCTCACAAACTTATTTCAGATGGAATCTCACCATGTCATTGATGTCATCACCTTGGCTCTCCCCACTAACACCTCACCAAAAAACTGCCCCGGGGGACTTGCTCAGCAAGTGTCACCAGCACCATCCTCAGAGGCCCCTCAGACAAGGATTTATTCCTGATTTGCCTCAGATCTGGTTCCTGGAGGAGGCTGAGGACTGCAGCTGATGCCATCAGTGGGACGGTGCTCATGGACCCACATGTAGGGTCTGGATTGTACAAGGAATGGGGTGAACTCTGAGACTGCCCTGAATCTGTGGGGAAATACCACTGACAACACGATCAGCTCCACCCCTTCACCTCCCGTGCTGTGAAAGAAGGGAAGTGACCTTGATTATCCGAAAATGCAAATGCCCCTGATTGTTTTCCAGGTTGGGCTGTGCTTGCTCAGGCTCCTGCAATCCCCCGAGGCTGTGCCTACACGAGTGAATCCATGGGGAAACACGGCAGGGCCACGTCAATCTTGTCAGGCAGGAAGATGCAATAAAATGGGATTAAACAGCTGAGAGAAGCACAGGAGGGACCCTGGTCAACCTCTGCAGAGGTGCTGGGAGAGCCTCAGGTGCAGAACTGTGGCAAGGCAGGGAAGCTGCTGCGTGTCTGGGTCAGGGTTTTTATGCCATAGCTGGCTGTGAGCTCGGGTGATCAGAAAGGAATAAATGAACAGGAAAACCCAGTGATTCAGAGGGTGTTTGGTGACAGGCCAAGGCAGTCCGTGCTGGCTGATGATTTAACCCCATGATTTGCATGGCTGAGTGCTCAGGGGCAGGTTTAGTGACAGCATCTTTCTCAGGTGATGCTGACTGAATCTCTGCTTACCCCATCCCAGGGACCTGTCAGGGCTGAGGAGCTGCATGTGCTGTGGGGCTCAAGAGCTCTCCTGAGGTGGGAAACACTCCCAGCTCACACTAAAGTCACTTCTTTAAATCTCCACAGACATTCCCTTTTCCCAAAGTGGGAAATGGTGCTTTAAGGAGTCCCCTTCCTGCAAGGGCCTCAATTCCCTGCCCCCTGGTAGCTGCTAGGAATATGAACAAATATCCCTTCTGTGGACAGGCCCAGATGTGGACAGGGCTGGGGATCAGAGAGGGAACTGCAAACACCAGCCCTTGGAGCAGGGATCACAAGTGGCCAGAGGACCCTCATGGAGAGAGGCACTCCACGAGCTTCTGTTTCCAAATGCCTAGAAATGGGAAAATTACCCTGGATTAAGCTTTGTCTACATTAAGGATGGACTGGAGATCCACAAGGGATCCATTTTCCAGGCAGTTTCCACTCCTTTAGTCAGAGACAAGCAGAAGAGGCCAGTGCCACCCTTGTGTGCCTTGGTGGGAGCTCTCTGCACAGAGCCTGTGCCAGGCTCACGCTCAGGGCTGCAGCGAGGGGCTTTTGTAAGATAAAACAAATACATTTCTCCCATTATTTCACTATTTCCAGGAGACACCAGACTGAATTCTGTTCCCAGTTCCCACAGTGCCACTGAAGGAAGATGAAAAGCAGCAACCAAGAGGCAAAATCTTCAACAATCAGTGCAGCAACCAGCCCTTTTCTCTGTCAGTGAGGTGCAGAGCCAGCACTGCTCATTCACTGGACTTCTACTGGACTTAAAGAAGGCAAAAAATTGGTTTGATGCTGTCTTGAGGCAGCTGGTCTAATATCATTGTTTTTCCCCATCCAGTAAGGAGTGCAGATCCTGGGATATTGCCCACCAGTAAGTGGGGCTGGCAGGGAGCCTGGCCCTGCACACACTGCTGGGCAGAGCTGAGAGCCTCCAGGGGGCTGCTGCCCCACACAGCACCCTCAGCTGGCCATCAAACCCTGCTCAAAACACTGCGGGAATGTTCTCACTCCCTCACCTCCATAAAGGTCCTGTTAGTTTCAAAAGCAGAGTTTGAAGGTTTCTCCTGCTGCTCTCAGCTGCTCTCCCCCTCTCCTGCTGCAGCCAGCAGAGGTTTAAATGCCTCCTTCTCAAACACATGCCAGCCATCTCCAGAGCAATACTTCTGGGAGGTGTGGTACAACAGTGCATGAAATAAGCAGCAGTTTATACTATTTGAAAAATGTTTTTCTGCTTCACCTCTAACAAAGTTGATTGCATTTTCCATTTCACCTCCTTCACGGCTTTTCTCTCTTTCTTAAGTGTTCTGTGACAGGGGAATTACCATGGTTTCCCATTTAAGAGGTGCAGGGAACAAGTGAGATAATCTAGGAACAAGTCTGTAATAGGCATCCTGTGGCACAGGAGCTGGGCTGGCAGCACCTCGAGCTGCTGAGCTGCCAAGCCCTGCTGCAGCCACTGAGACCAGCCTGCATTTAAATAAATAAATACTTTTACTGAATGCAGTGACCTGTTCCTCCTTCTGAAGGGCCTCCCTGCTTTTCAGGTATAACTGATGCTCCAAAAGCAGCTCCAAGCCCTTTCCAAGGCTCCTGTGGTGCTGTGGGAGGGCAGAGGCAGCAGCAGCCCCCAGCATGGGCACACCTGCAGCCCCAAGTGCTGCCAAGGTCTCGGCAAAATAAAATGTTGTCAATATCTGTAAAATGCACAGGGTAAGATTTAAAAAGTCAATCACCCAAAGCCAGCTCTCAGGAGTTTCCTCCTACCTCCCTCTTCTGAGCAGCGCCAGCAGCTCCCTGCTTTGGCAGCCTTGTGCCTCTCGTTGGGTGGTGGGCACAAGGCAAACCACAGAGTAACAAAACCAGGAGTTCTCTGTGTCAATATTTAATTTAATCAACCTGAGACTGGGCTATGATCACCACAGTGTAGGGCAAAGCATTCACAGCTACCGTTTTAATGACCCTATTTGTTGTTTTTCAGATTTCACCTCCTAAAACCAACCAGGTTGTGCTTAACTTGGTGCTGGGGTGAGACTGAACTTCTGTCTGGCTCAAGGACTTAATCCCATAAAAAGAACTGCCAGTGCCACAGCCTAAGCTCGTTCTTCACTAAAGAAATGCTGACTGCTGTTTTAGGAGCTAATGAATTTCATAGTCCGAGAAGCCCGAGATAACAACCCCTCCTTTTTCATCCCAGAGAGAAAGAGAGAGAAAGACAAAGAGAGCAGACAGAGAGCAATTGCTGTGTAAGACACAAGTCCTGTCAGGCAGATTGTATTTGTCAGGATGCAAGTCCAGTGATTTACGTGGGAATACTGGCAGGCATGCTCAGGCACCTCTGAACTGTGTCACTTACTGGCTGAACAGCACAGTTATTAATTAATACCTCTATTAATTAATAATATAATGAACTGAACAGCTAGCAATAACTGAACCTGGTTTTGTCACGGCAGTCATGCAAGTCAGGCTCTCTCAGGGTGCAGCGTCACGAGCCCTGTGGATGCTCAGGGACAGACATGCAGGTGCTGAGGGGCTGTGACAGGGGCACAGTGTGAGGCACCTGGGCCTGCTCTGGGTGTGCACACTCTAGAACATCTGGCCAGGAGAGTTTTTAGAGAACATCTCAGGAGACAACAGAAGAAGTTAGTAGAGAGGAGAAGACTGATGACAATGGAGAGACACAGCAAACCAAGGAGTTCACAGCTGGCCTGGCAAACCACTCCCGGACCAGCAAAGCCAGTAGACAACACACAGGTGAGGCAGAAAGCAAAGAGCTCCTTCAACTTCTGCAAAACCCCCCCAAAACACCTGCACAGAGCGGGGACCAACCTGCCTGCACCTGACCTGAGCCAAGCCTCGAGCAGCTCTCTCAAAACCCACTTGTAGGCCTACTTGTTCTATGGTACTTTGGTAACAAATCAATACATCCATGACTGTGTGAAGCTTTGGAGACCTTGAGGAATGACCTGCCTGACCTTCCCTCTGTGTTGAGTATTTCCAAAGCTGTAGCTGCAAGAGTTATTGCGAGAGAAAATTAACGCTGGCTTTGGCCAGTTGAGACTCTGCCTAACGCCAGGCAGGGTCTTGCTCAGCTGGCTGCAGCCTGCCTGGCTGGGGAAATGAATCTGACATTCCAGAGATACCATGTCTTTACTAAAATACTTTTATTTCCTAAAGTTGATGCTACTGTGCTGTCTTAAAAAAGTTACAGGCAGCCCCAGGGAACAAGAGTGTCCCTTTCCTTTCCAGCAGCAGGAAAGGGGTACTCCCTCCCCAGTTCCAGCATTTTAGCAATTTTTAAAATTCTTTTTTTTGCTAATGGGAGACTTTGGGAATTAGCAGAACCTCTACACACCTCCGCACTCACTCCCATTTCAGCCTGAGATAAACAACTGAGATAGATTTCTGCCCCCAGGGACAGCTTCTGGACATCAGACTGGAGACACGAGATCAAATTCATCTCTGGTGCAGTTCCACTGGCTTTCAACCACCTTCGACCAGAGATTAATTTGGCCCACAGATACATTAAGGAAGGATACAAAGCACAAACGGTATTTGATATAAAAAGAGAAGGGAGGGGGAAGTTGAGGGGATGCTGGATCCTAACCCAGCAGGATTCAGCCCAGCCCGCTCCACCCTCACATCACCAGGCACAGAGCGTGTTGCCGGTTACCTTTTTGCTTACTGACTTTCTTTACTGTCATTGCCGCTTGCCGCTTTTGATTCTCAGAAATTTCAAAGCCTGGAAAAGGGAACACGGCAAACACAATTCAGAAGGTTGCTCACAAAGCCTCATTTCTTTTTGGGGAGGGGGATGCTCTGGGTGTTCTACTGAAAAGCAGAAACTCTTCCTTGGCCTCTTTCTAATCTCGCTCGTGCAGGGGCTGGATGGAAAGTGAGATTAGAGGAGTTTTTATTTTATACATGTTAAATATGCCCGGTGCTTCAGAGCTGAGCGACAAGCTGAACCTGGACTGACACTGGCCACGGTCAGTTTAGGGGCTGGTGCAAGGGAAGGGCTGTCCCTGCTGCCCCCCCTCTGCATGAAACATCCTTAACCAGAGCAGGAGGATGCAGCCAGGACACCCTGAAGGTGGGTGGCCAAAGACTTCCCTCTCCCACACACCCACGGAGCTCCAGGCTTGAGCTATGGGCAGAATTTGTTTATTGAGGGCCAAAAAGAACAGTAACTGAGCTGGAAAGAGACCAATTTATGGCTAGGAGAGCAACCAAGGACATGTCAACAAGGCTGAACTGTAGTTCTACCACAAAGAAAATGTGGGCTCCTCCACCCATTGGGGCTAAATTAACCACTACCAACAACCTCCTGTCAGATTCATTTCCACATTCCTCACCTATCTTTTCATCTTCTTTTACCATCTTCCTTTCTTCTCTGAAAGCTCTAAGCCATCGTAACTTCTCCTCCAGTTTCTTGGCAAAGAATAAGTGCATTTCCTCAGTCTCCTTGTTATGCAGTTTGAAGGCATTCTTCATGCTGACATTGAAGTCATCATCTCTCCCATCTTCTATATCCACCACTTCATATTTATCCATGTCTATGCGCCCTTTGTAATACAGGATATCCCTTCGGATCAGATCCTGCGGAGGGAAAAGGAGACAGGCATCATGGGGAGAGCTCATGGAGCAGGGAATTCCTGGGAGAGCTGAGGGAGAGAAGGAAGTGATGGTGAGACCTGGTCAGATCCTTCAATTTCTAAGAGAGAGGAGGGAAGGAAAGAAATGATGGTGAAACCTGGTCAGATCCTCCAATTCCTGAGAGAGAGGAGAGAAAGAAGTGATGGTGAAACCTGGTCAGATCCTTCAATTCCTGGGAGAGAGGAGGGAGGGAAAGAAGTGATGGTGAAACCTGGTCAGATCCTTCAATTCCTGGGAGAGAGAAGGGAGAGAAGGAAGTGATGGTGAGACCTGGTCAGATCCTTCAGTTCCTGAGAGAGAGGAGGGAGAAAAAGAAGTGATGGTGAGACCTGGTCAAATCTTTCAGTTCCTGGAAGAGCTGAGGGAGAGAAGGAAGTGATGGTGAAACCTGGTCAGATCCTTCAATTCCTGGGAGAGAGGAGGGAGGGAAAGAAATGATGGTGAGACCTGGTCAGATCCTTCCAGCCTCACCTGCTGTGAACACATCTCTTGCTGGCCAAACAGGGCAGGCCATGGGCAGAGGGGAACAAAACACACATCCTTGAGCTGCAAAATTCAGTTTGTAGGCACAAAGAAATGCCTCTGAGTGGGTGCCATGTTCCAGCCTTTCCACATGGGAGGTTTTGCTCCACAGGGTGAGGAGTGGGAGGCACAGGCCCAGCAGGGGCACAGCACCAGTCTGGAGCCAGCACAGGATGCCCAGATCTCTTTTCCACACACATTCCCACACCCAGGGGGGACTGGTCTCTGCCCCTTCTCCTTGGGACCCATTTCCCATTCCCACTCACTGCTGAGAAACCACCCTGATTCTCAGCTCAAAGCACTCCTAATCTACCTCTGGTCTCATTCCACCCTGGATTTAACCTCTTGGTCCAGCCTAGCTTTTGCTCTTTTTCTCTCCTCGATGATTATAACCTTTTCAATCCAACCTGTTTATGCTCATCTCCTTTCTCAGCTGGTTATTCCCTGTCTTTCAGCACCAGCTCATTTCTCTGCCTTCTCTGGAAGGGAAAAGCAAATTCCACACTGGCCCCACATCTCTGTGCTTGTTATCTCAGGTAACAGAAGATGATCTGCAGAAAACAGAATGTTAATTCTCTCGTCATGGCCACAGACGGTGATTTGATTTATTAAAAACCAAATTCAGCAACACACAATCAAGATTTCCTTCCTCTAACCACTCTCAAAAGCAATGTTTAGGTATATTAAATCAATTTCACCTAAATAACTTTGGATTTTTCAGAGTGCCCTAAAGATAAATGCTATGTCAAAGGATTCATTTGAGAGGAAAAACGAAGGCAATGTACAGCATTCATTTATTGAAATAATATTTAGCAGTGAGGCTTTTTCAAGATAAGCAGTAGGTATTATTTTAAACAAATTCATCTTCGAAAATAAACTCTAAATCATAACAATTTAGCAAACTTGCTCATGAATCTGCCAGACAGTATTAACTATCCCAAGACTGGCCAGAAGCTCACAGGCTTTAAATCCTGACTCCTTCCTTTGGAACGCTCTGGGCAGGGGTGGGGATGGAATCCCATTAACAAATATCCCGTACAAAAACCTTCCTCTGGTGTAGGCCTGGAATAGTGACAGTCCAAACCATAAGGAAAAGGTATTTCAGGCTGAACAGGCAACAGAAAATCTTTTTAGTCTCGTCCTGACTTTGGGAATTGCTCCTTTCCCTCGGTGGTGCTGTGAGAGGCTGCGAGAGCCACGTGGAGCCTGATCAATCAGCTCAATACCACACACAGCCTTTGATGGGAGGCTGGGGCTTGCTCTTAGAGAGAACATTTATCTGCACCACCTTCTCCAAAAAAAAACCTGACACCAAATCTCCCAGGAACGGGATGTGCTCCTTCCATTGGCCACAGCAGCCGCTCCCCTTCCTGCTGCCACTGAGAACTTCCAGAGCCAGCCCCACGGAACGTCTGCTGAGGATCCAGTGCATCCTTCCAGGGAATCTTCATGATTGTGGAGAGATTTCCTCATAAAGGTATTATAAGAATCAACAATCACAAGCTCTGAAAATCCCAGGCTCTGTGCACTGCCTCTTTCCTTATACACATTAAATGTTTAATGCAAGATGTTTCTCCTCTCTTATCTCCCCAATTTTGACTCAGAAAACATCATGAGCTGTTTTTAACAGTGAATGCTTCACCAGCTTTGTGCTTCCCGAGGACAATCCATGGGTTTGGAGGTGTCTGACTGAGCTGCTCCACACATTTCCCCTCCTGGGATGCAGCAGGAGCTGTCCCTGTCTCTGGTGAGGCTGCTGAGAACTGATGTGAGGATAAAGGCGCTGCCCAGGAGTTCCTCAAGGAGTAGCAATGAGAAAATGGAATCCTACAAGTGCCTCTGGAGATCAAATGGCCCCACAGGTTATTGCTGGTGAAAGGCAGGAGTGGGGAAGAAGGAGCTCAGCTGCAGCGGAGGAAATGCTGCAGTTTGGCCTTGAGCTGAGCAAGGGAAAGACAACAGCACAAAGCTCCTGGCTGCCACTTCCACTGTCATTTGGAGGAGGAAATTCAATAAGGACTCCAGAAGAAATGGATCATCTTTTCTCCCAGTGCTTCAAAAGAAGGAGCATTCTACACTTGTTGGCCATGAACTCCACACTGAATAAAGAACAGACACTTTATTCCCCACACAAACATCTCACGAGCAGCACGTGCCTGGACATGGAGGACTTTGCTTCCAGAAAGTTCAGTCCACAGATTAACAACTGTAACTGGATTATTTCATTTTTAATGGGCTCAGCATCTCCTATCATCATTCTCCCTTCTTCTTGCCAGCACTCAGTGAATGGATATTATCTCCCAAACTGAATAAACTTGAACACCCATAGTAGGGGAAGCACAATAATGATTCGATCCGTGGATATTTTATCACAGCTTTTAAAGAATAACAGACACCACTCAGCTCCTTAGTGAAGCAGGGCCCTCTTCAAACACCTTGCACTGGGCTCAAGAAAATGCAGGTGTTCATCTGCAGCAGACAGCAAACAGGGCCAAACTCTTGTTTTAAGGAGGTTTTTATGCACGTGGAGAAGAGGATAGAACCTGAGAGAGCACCGAGGCCATGAAGGGATGCTGCCTGTGTGCTCTCTGCAGCTGCAGTGCTCAGATGTGAACCTGTTGCTCTTCACACCCCTTTGTCCTTTTCCCAGCATATCCATGGAGTCAAAATAAATGTGAGATTAAGGAAAGCAGCTGTGAGGCTGAGGAGGGAAATGGATTGTTCCACCAGCCTGGTGTTAGTACTGCGTGGCAGGAGGACAAAGCAGATCCGTGCACAAAAATGCATTTTATCTGCTACAGAAGCTGAGAGGAGCTCTGGCTTTGTGGGGGACAGGAATGCTGCTCCTGCTCCTGCTTATCCAGGGATAAATGAGAGAATTAGAAAGAGAGAAATGAAGAAATTATTAATCTCTAGGATATAGCTCTGTTCACAGGCTGGCTCAGTTTGGTCCTGTTCATTACCCATCAGCTGCTCTGCACTGGCCAGTTCTGAATGTCACACAAGATTATTTCCTGTAGTTAAATCAGGCAAGAGCAAGAAAATATAAAAACCCCCAAAAATACTCTCAAAACCTTATCAGTGGGGAAAGGCCATAGAAATGGAGCTGTTTAATCTAGAAAGGCCATAACTAAAAAGGAATGTGCTGTTGGTATTCCAGTATGTGAAATGTGAAAGCTGCTCCTCTTTTAAGGTGATCAATTATTCTCCATTTTGATTGTGGCTTGGCTTAATTTACCACAAGGGAGAACAGGATTAGAAACTTGAAAAAAAACCCACTTTCTATCTAGAAGAGTAGTTAAACCCTAGAACAGACAAAATAGGGAAGTCTTGGGATGGCATTCCTGGGGGATTTTCAAAAGAAGGTTAGACAAACATCCATCAGAGGTGATGTGAGTGTGCTTAATCCTGCAGAGGGAATATCTGCTCTCCTGGGCTCCCTCCCAGCTCTGCAGCTGGCTGGTGGCAGAGGAGGTGACAGCTGGAGCAGGTAGGATGGGCAGCACTTGGGGCAGCGTGGGGACAGCAGCAGTGGCACAGACCTGCAGCTCTGCAGAGCACCCAGCCTGCCTGGAAAGGAAATGGATGCATCTGGGTCATTTGCACTTATTTGTCTAAATATGATCTTTTTTTACCCTACAGCTTCTACGATTTCCTTTTCTTCCCCTCGCTGAGGTTAATTAAGCTCTTCTGAATAATGCTCTGCAGTCTGTTCACGTAATCTGTACTAAGGATTCACAAGGAAAAGATGAAGCTGAAGAAAGTGGTTTGATGGGAGCACAAAGGCAAGTTCTGACGGGTTACATAAGCCCCCCACAGCTCTGCTCTCCGGGTTCTGTGCTGGGCTTGTGGCCACGCTCGGGGCTGGCCCTGCCTTGGGACCTGCCTGGGCCACCCCCATCACTGTCCCCTCCTGGAAGGGGAAAGGTGACTTTATAAAGAAATCTCTTACAAAGAGATAATCTTCTTATAAAGAAACATCTTACATTAAACATTTAGTGTGTGGCATAAGGAAAGCAAGGCTGAGCTTTACTGGAAAACCTGGAAGCTGGGATGGGCTCCCAGGATGAATTGTGCTCCTGCTGTAGTGGATTTAGACACCTGCAGGAAAGACTGTAAATCACTGTTCAGTAGCTCTTTGACTCCTCCTTGCCTTCTGTACTGCTTCTCCTGCTCTCTAGTTTTCATCTCTCACTTTTTTCTGCCCCACTAGTCCAGAGCACAGCTCCTTGTGCCTGGCACTGCCTGTGGGAGAGGAAAGGTCAAACCCTCCCAGGTCACTCAAGGGGAAAAAGAACAATAATGACAAGGAGGGCAATCTGCAGTCACCAGTGCAAAATCACAACCAAAAGTCATCCAGGGGTTTCAGCAGCACAGGGCAGGAGGAGGAAATGAGCTCGTGAGAGGAGCTGGCCTGGTCC